CTTTGAGTCTCAAAGCTACTGAATTTGGATGCGTTCTTGAGAAAAGGTACAAGCAGACACCTGTGTGCTCCAGAGACAGGAGTAAAGGGCTACAGTGGGAAGATATTTGGGGGTGAGGGGTGGGGGAGGGGAGCAAATATAAGTAGAAAACATGGGGAATCATTTTCTTTTTTAAACAAATTTTTATTTTATACTGATTGATTTACAAAGTTCTAATACATTGTTTTTCACACAAGATCCTTCCTATTTCCTTCACCCCACCCACCCATCAAATTGTGCAACCCTACGATTAACACCCCACTCTGTCCCGCCCATCCTCACTCCTCTGCTTCCACCCCTTCGCCCCTTGGATCCTCATACTCATTCCACAATAAAGTTTTATAAAGTCCCTTGTGGGACTGGGTTAGTTCACTCAGCATAATGCTCTCCAGTCCCAAATTGGTAGTAATTTACAAAGTCATTGCGCCTGCATGCTGTATTTCATGGTATGATTGTACCAGGGGGAAAGTTTTCATGTATTATCAACTCACGTACAAAATTAAGTACTTTCTTTCCAAAGCAAGACGCTAGAGGACAAAGAATATCTATTCAAAAGGTGTAAGACCTACCAGAAATAGGCTTAACCCATAAAATAAAATACTGTAGATTTTGTTTCAAAGCTATTTAGTGAAAAGAAGCTAAAAGCCAAAAATATCATGAAAAGTAAAAGAGGAACTAAAAAGGCCGGGAAGATGACTCTAAAATGGGTAAACAGCTAAAAGGTTTTAATCTCAGCAAACGTCTTATTCATAAATCTTGATGGTCTTCACGTGCACTCGGGGCAAGGCACAGTTGAAGTACAAAAATAGACCCAGAGGAAGCACACGTGCTGCCACCAGGAATCTGCCACCAGGACAAACAAGGTCCCTCTTTCCAGGGGAAAGGGAAGAGCATAGCTGTGTGTGTGGCAGCATTTCCTGCCCATCACGGTCATGGTGTCTTCTTTTCTTTTTAAGGATGATGTTCCAAATATACAACATGGTCAGGAAATAACACATTGTGTATGGGGGAAACTTAGACACAGATAAAAGAGAGGGAAAAAAGAATATTGCCAACTTTTAAGGAATTTATTACTCAGTCTTAGGGCTAAGTAAAAGATCTGTTTCCATTGGCTGTTCATTTTCTTAACAGTAACAGGAAAAGAAAAAGAAATAATACA